GGAAAGCATGAGGCAGAAACCCAACCCCAACGCCGTGCGCTCCTTGGAAACGGTGATCCAGGTCCAGAGTGAGTGTCCCAGGGCTGGGGCTCGGATAATTAACGTAGAACAGCCGAGTGCTGGCATTTCCTCCCCTCTCTTGGCATAAAAGACCCCAGTGGAGCCCTCCATCATCATCCTCCTCCTCGTAGGAGCGTGATGCCAAGGGAATCCCAGAGCCCTGGGGCGGCCCCATCCCAGCACCCTCCTGATTCTCCCCCGCAGGTAAATACTGGGTGGCCGTGCAGCGCTTTGCCTCCAAGCTGGGCTGCTCCTTCCTGGAGGCTCAGCACCACGAGGCGGAAGAGGTGGAGACGGTCACGGCGTTGGCGTCGCTCTCGGTGGCCGTGATGGTGGAGAAGAGGTGATGCTCTGAAATCCATCCCGGGAGACGCGGGTGCCCCTCTCGGTGTCCTGGGGGTGGCCGCAGCGACGGGCCGTGTGTCCCGCGGCCAGATGAGCTTCTGGGGGGGTCAGAAATTATGGCTTTAAACGTGGCTGGAGGCGTGGGTGCTAGAAACAACCAACCATCCTCCCCACCGCCAGCTCTGAGCCTCTCACCCTCCCATCCCGGCGGGTTTGGGTGCTGGGCTGAGGTCCTGCGTCCCCAGGGTCAGGACCTGGCGTGGCTTCGGGGAGATTCAGTGCTGGGCTCTTCCCAACCGAGATGAAGATGAGCCCAAACCCTCCCTCCTTCCTTGGAGGCTGGAGGTGTTGGGGTTCATCGCCTCCTTTCAGCCGGGTCCCCGCCTGCCGCCACCTTTCCTCCCCCTCCCCAGGACTCAGCCCGAGTCTCAGGGGACTGGGAGGCACTGGGAGGCTTCTTCTGGAGATGCTGGACCTGCCCAAAGGTCCCTGGATGCCGGGAGGGACGGGATGTGTCACACAGGTCTCCTCCTCCGTGTCCCACGTGTCGTATTTCTCCGTTTCAGGCCACGGGACGAGCCGATGGAGGAAGAGGAGCCCATGAACCAGTGACGAGCGGTGACGTCCTCTGCTCCCCTGCTTCCAGGATGTGGCTGGACTCTCTTCACTCCTGGTTTCCCGTTTGCCACGTCATCCTCACTCCCCGAGCCGTGGTCCTGCAATGACCCGGACCTTTGGCTGCCGCCTCCGCAGCTCTTCCAGAAAAGATGCTCCTGCAGCCGCCCGGAGACGTCCTCCTGCTCGGGACCGATGGGAAACCACAAACTCCCGCTGCACGGCG